AAGAGGGTGAGGAACAGTCGGAAATAGAAAGGAGATGTTCCCAGTGAGTGTTGTCTGCTCGAAAAAACAACCACAAATTTGAGGGCCTGACGGCCACAGGAATAGGTAAAGAGATAACCACAACCATCACAGGAAGTTGGCTTTATGGCTATTAGATCGAAGCCATATCGATTAGAAATTCACTCGAGATGCAGCAGGAGATTGATGATAAACCTTTACAGTTTGCTTAGCTTACAATAATTGAATCACAGAGATGGGTCGTCTAGACGATAGCTAATATTTGCAAGCTTGTGAATTACAGCCAAGGCGCTCTGCTTGGTGAGACTTGCAGTAAACCATATGAAATAGCCCTGGACTAAAACGTATACTCTAAGTTGAATCAAATGAAATGATTCATCCAGTAAGATCTCCCATGAGGGCGATTCGGACGGAAGGCTCATGTTGGATCAGCATTTCCGGCAAATCGAGAGAGAGGATAGGCAAGGTGAATATGCATGTGTGATAACGTCTCACTAAACTCGTTCAAAAATGCATACTTATTGGGGGATCGAACATAAACAAATTCTAAGTTATGCTAAGAAGTGAATGAAATACGAAGATAGAAAGTAGGTAGATGTGCATGAAAAAAATTAGGGGTGGTAGCACAAACTTTCGGCAGAAAGTTAATCAAAGAATTAACTTTAATTGACGATGCCGACTATGCTGCTGGCGATGCGCCTGTCATGTACTCACTCTCGAGCTGAAGTTAGCAATTGTCCTAACTACTATAGCAGAGGATTTTGGACAAGGTGCATCTAGCTAGGTCGCCCTGACAACACGACCAAGTTGCGAAAATGAGGTCAGACCATTTACAATTATAAAGTTTATTATCTAACTTTATTATCTCAGAGCAACCTATTAAATCGTCGATATGGAGACCCTGGTCTTAGCTACAAGGAGACCTTGTGGAACGTACATAGTTCTACATTCTCTGGCAGATGATTTCCAAAGTTACAACTTTTTAAAGTGATAAGTGTGGGTGCAAATTGTTAGGGGGAGTATATTCAACTTCACTTTGATAAGTTGTAACCGTCCTGAGGATGGCAGCGAAGCGTCTGGGAATGTACTAAATCAACTGTCCGATGCTAAAAATCGTCAGGAATATTCTGACAGAGGACATAGGACTAGGTAAGTTCCACACCTTTCACTGTCGCCCCGACTAAGTTGCGAAAGCAAGATCAAATCAGCCTGTTGAACTTGCGCTATATTTCATCTATTGCCTTAATTTTTCTTGCCCTGCTCGCTTTTCGATTCATCCGAGCATCAATAATTTATTTAAAAAAATAATAATTCAATTTTCACAGACAGCTTTTTAAATTACTTCTATCTTTGAATCCTGTATTTGCTTGTTATTTATTATTGCCCACATGATCTCCTTAGCGTCCTGCCAAATTCTTTATTAATTCATGTTTTAACTTGCTGGACTTTTTTTTATAAATTTTCTATTATTCCCATAAAGCCGTCCCTATCCCATTCCAAATTATCCACATCTACGCTGCTCTGTCATCTATTTCATCCGCTATTTTATATTATAATTCTCATTTTTGATCTCATCAGGCCTGGCCGGTATTCTTGCGCTTAGTCAATATGTTGATGGCTCTGGAATCTGTCCCTCAAATCCATTGACCCCTACGACAAGTTTGGGAGCCACTTTGAACTCTGACAATATGGCACATCAAGACCGAGGCACTAAAGGCAATAGTGCTGTTTGCCCTACTGAAGTCACAAATGATAAAATAAAAATCTTCGAAAATCCTTTTGAAGAGACTTCCTTTTGCTCTCATAGATCTGCCAGCCTGCGAGCAGTAGAACTGGAGAATGAGGGCCAACTGGACCTAGCCTGTGCAGCCTATGAGCATAGTCTTTGTCAGCTGCTATCCTCCACCGTCCTTTTTGAAGATCAGAATGGGGCTCGAATACAACAAGCCAGTTTGGATGCCGCCAGGCTCACGCTATACATTGGCCTCTTTCGCTGTCAGCTACCTGATCTGGCCCGTTTGCATGGACTGGTTGACCGCGCTTCAGCTCTCATCCATCGCTTTTCCACCGACCTTGTGATTGATCCTTGCTCATCCAGCATTCCGCTAGTTTCACATCAAATTTCCATTGACAGAATTTCTGGAATTCCTCGTTCTCCAGATAGCCTCGTGTGTCCCCAGCGGAAGCGTAGAGCGCTTTTGCCTGAAACAATAGGGGCAAGTATGGAGGTCGATGAAGAAGTTGATAAGACAACCAACCCCTTGGTAACCGAAGAAGCTGCGGTGGAGAGTTCAACCCTTAAATCCGACCCAGGCTCTGCCACTTGGTTTACACAGGCGAATGCTAACCAAGTTGCCTGGTGTCGCCAATTAAATGCATGCAGAGCAGAGGCGGCCCTCAGGCTGGCCGATTGGGATACCCTTGAGGAGGCTGTTTCCCTTGTACGTACTTCAGAATATTGATTATCAAATAAATAATATTAACAGACCGACTTAAACACAGGATGCCTCGGTCTGGGCTAAAATGATTACAATCTATTTTCAGTAGCCAATATCAATTTACTCATCACCGGTCAATTTCGTTACACGACACCATGTAGATCTTCCAATACCATTATTTCACACTTATAAATATCTACCTCCCCGGAGCTCTGCTGTTCTGCCCGTTTAAAGAATTTTTTAAACTTCTAAATTTATATTTGATATACTACTTACCGGATTGGCTCTTTTAGTATCTCAAATTTATTGGTTGATTTATATCATCCACATAGGGAAATCCATTTTAATACACAATTATTCCTGTATATGATAATTGACACCATGGTTTCAGTCAAATTTTAATTTTTTAACGAGGTTCTCACATCAGTATTAAGATCAAGTTCGGTTGTAGGCCAATTGAGTAAAGATAATATAAAAATAAAATAATGGAAATACAATACAATACATTCTAACGCTTTTATATGAAGGCTGTACTCAATAAAATCTCCTCTTGCCTAGGGTTGATGAAGTGTTTACGGCCTAATTCATTCAAT